AAGTTAACGTAGTTAACGGTTACGGTTACGGTTACGTTACGTTACGTTAACTTAACGTTAAGTTAAGTAAGTAACGTAAGTACGTAGTACGTACTACTCTCTCTCTCTCTCTCTCTCTCTCTCTCTCTCTCTCTCTCTCTCTCTCTCTCTCTCTCTATATATATATATATATATATATAGTTTAAAAAATAGAGTCCAGATTATAGAGTTAGTTTTTAACCCTTTAGAAGATAACCCTATTAATGAATCTACTGATGATGAAATAGAATTTAAAGGTATTATAAAAAATTATAAGAATCCTCTGCCCCCAGAGGCAGAAAATACTCTTCCTAAGGTAATTGATCAACCAGAATCTTTTGATATGAATACAATACAAGATTGTAATTATGTTAGCCTTCTTGATAGAGTAATCACTCAAAAATGGTTTACCACAATAAAAATAGTCATTCAAAAGGAATATAGTTTTCAAACTACTGCTCTAATAGATTCAGGAGCAGATTTAAATTGTATAAATGAAGGACTTGTCCCCACTAAATATTTTAGTAAGACAACACAAGTCTTAAATACGGCAGATGGAACACAAGTCTTAAATACGGCAGATGGCGGTAAAATGATTATAAACTATAAACTTTCTAATGCTGCAGTTTGTAATAATGGTAACTGCTTTGAATTCCCTTTCATCATGGTTAAAGGATTAAGCCAGTCTGTAATCCTATGAACTCCATTTTTAAATATGTTTTATCCAATAAAGATTGATAGTACTGGAATTGAAGCTAATATTGAAGGACATGATGTAAAATTCAATTTTATTGAAAAACCCAAAATTCGAGAAATAAATAATATAAAAGAGAAAATCTCTAATAAAGAAAAATTCTTGTATTACCTCAAGGAAGAAATAAAATATAAAACAATAGAAACCAAGCTCTTGCTTCCTGAAAATAAAAGAACAATAGAAAGCCTTTGAAATAAAACTAGGCCTATTCAAATGAATCCTAGACTTTTAGAGATTTGTAAAAAAGAGATTGCTGAGTTACTTCAGAGAAACCTTTAGGAAAAGTTCTTCTCCTTGGAATTGTTCAGCATTTTATGTTGAAAAGACCTCTGAAATAGAACGGGGTGCACCTAGATTGGTCATAAATTATAAGCCCCTCAATAAAGCCTTAAGATGGATAAGATATCCCATTCCTAATAAAAGAGATCTTTTGGATGGACTTGTTAATGCTTGTATTTTCTCAAAATTCGATTTAAAGTCTGGATATTGGCAAGTCCAGATTGCTGCAAAAGATCGTTATAAAACTGCTTTTAATGTTCTTTTGGGGCAATATGAGTGGAATGTTATGCCCTTTGATCTAAAAAATGACCCTTCAGAGTTTCAAAATATTATGAATGACATTTTTAATCCCTATACTAAATTCATGATTGTATATATTGATGATGTCCAAGTTTTCTCTGAAAATCTAGAACAACATTTTAAACACCTAAATATTTTTATTAAAGCAATTAAGATGGCCGGCGTAGTACTTTATGCAAAAAAGATTAGCCTTTGCCAAACAAAAATCAGATTTTTGGGACAACATTTTTCAAGGAACAATAATCCCCATTGATAGAACCATTGATTTTGCTAATAAATTCCCTGATATAATCAAGGATAAAACTAAACTCCAAAGATTTCTTGGTTGTCTAATTCCAAAGGTTAAAAAAGAATCCTCCTGAATGGACGGATATGCAAACTTCTGCCGTGAGAAAAATAAAAATAAAGGCAAAAGAATTACCCTGCCTTACACTCTCAGATCCTACTGCAAAGGTCTATAATTGAATGTGATGCCTCAGAAAAAGGTTTGGGAAGGATTTTAAAACAACCTAATTCAAATAAGGAACAATTGGTCCGTTTTACTTCTAAAGCTTAGAATCCAACCCAACAAAATTATTCTACTGTTAAAAAGGAAATCCTAGCCATTGTCCACTATGTGACAAAATTTCAAAGTGATCTACTTAATCAAAAACTCTTAATTCGTACCGATTGTAAAGCTGCAAAAGATATACTTCACAAAGATGTAAAAAATCTCATTTCAAAACAGATCTTTGCTCGATGGCAAGGTATTCTCTCCTCCTTTGAATTTGACATTGAACACATCAAAGGTACTACTAATTACCTTCCTGACTTTTTCACCCCAGAATTTTTGCAGGGAGGACAGGAAAAAGGGAACGAAGGAGATGGTCCATGTTCCAAGTAAAACCTTGGCATCATCATCATCACCAATAACCCCAAAACAATTGACCAGAAAACAAGCTCAAGAAATAACTTTTTCTCCTGAATCAATACCATTTGCCGTAAATAAACCTGGCAAAAAGAGCAAATTTATAGAAACTTCCTTCATAACTATTATCATAGTAGAAGATGACCACAAGGATAAAGATCCCAGTGAAATAGCTGCAATATATTTGAAAAATCATCTACATCCTAATAATGGAGAAAAGAACAGAGAATGG